AAATCTTCCATCAGCAAGTGTTATTTATGTGACTATGAATCCAGAATACAATTACCCTTAAACAAAAGTGATATCTGCATTCATGGAGCAATGAGTTGAATAATCTCTTCTTACCATTACTGTGAAGATATGCTATAGCTGATGCGAGACTTTGAATGATCCACCTTGTCTCATTCTCTGAGAAATGTCCTTTTCTATTCAGAATTTCTTTGAGTTCTCCATCCTCACAAAGCTCCAACACAAGGTACATTTTCTGACATTACATATTTAAAAGAGAGAGAGACAGTACCAATTATATACCTGGGAATCTTTAAAATGTTATATATTGCATATATAATCATAATCTCAATCAATTTATTCATTAAAAAATATTTATTATCTATGATGTACAAGATACTGCAGTGGATACTGGAGAAACAAAGAAGAATAAGACATAGTCTTTTTTTCTTTTTCTTTGAGACAGGGTCTCACTTTGTTGCCCAGGCTAGAGTGCAGTGGCATCATCATAGCTCACTCCAACCTCCAACTCCTAGGCTCAAGTGGTCCTCCTACCTCAGGCTCTGCAGTAGCTGGGACTAAGATGTGTGCCACCACACCCAGCTAATTTTTCTAGATTTCTGTAGAGATAGGGTCTCTGCATATTGCTCAGGCTGGTCTCAAATTTCTGGCCTCAAGTGAACCTCCTGCCTTGGATTCCCAAAGTGCTAGGACTACAGGCATGGGTCACTATGCCTGGCCAAGACATATTTACCTTCAAGAAGCTCACAGATAGTTATACACTATCATGGGATGAGCACTAATGGCCTAAAATGCCACGGGGTTACAGAGGAGGGGCAGCCTCTGCCTAAAGAATGCTCACTGAGGAGCAACATTAAAGCCAGGTCTGGATGTCTGAATAGGAATTTATGGGTAGAAATGTGGGAAAGAACAGGTAGAGCACATGGTATCTGCAAAGACTCCAAATCTTGAAATAGCACTGGCTGTTAAAAGAACAACAGGTATCTCAGTGTTAACAGCATTGGGAACTTGGTAGGGTAGAGAAGAGTAGAGTGGTGAGAGGTGAGGCTAGAAAGAACAGGTTGATGTCAGATTTTAAAGAGTCTTGGATATCATGCTAAGGGGTATGGATTTTTCCCACATCCAATAAGAAGCCACTGAAGGTTTTTAAGCTGGTATCTGGAGCAGGAGGTGTATGATATTACCAATTGTGCATTCCTAAATGAATACTCTAGCAATAATGCAAAACAGGGCTCAGCAAACTTTTTCTATAAAGGCCAGACCCAGTGGAAAATATTCCTGGCTTTGTAAGCCATACAGTTTCTTTCACAACTACTCTACTGCTATAGCATGAAAGCGGCCATAAACAATACAACAAAACTTTATTTATAGACTTTGAAATTTGAGTTTCATATAATTTTCACATATCATGAAATACTACTCATTTACATTTTTTGCAACCACTTGAAAATGTAAAAAACTTAGCTTATGGGCCACACAAAAACAGATAGCAGGCCAGATTTGGCACGCAGGCTGTAATATATTGATCTCTGTTTACAGAGGGTGGATGTGAGGCACAGAATAGAGACAAGAAGGGGGTAAGGAAAAAGATGTAAAAAATACCTATAAGGAAGAAACAGTGAGACTCAGTGACTAATTGGGTGTGAGTGGTAAGAAGTCACGGACAAAATGCCTCCTCCATATATTCTGTTTCTGTTGAGGCATATTATTAATAAGATCACTTTAGGTATTCCGACAGTCAAATCATCTATTGAGTCCAAAAGATTCACAGTCAACTAAAACACAAGTCTTTTTCACACATCTTGCTATTCAAACACAGAGTACCCTCCACATCTCCATTCTAACCTACTCTGCTAGGTTTTCGTTGTTTTTAAGATTTGGGGATCTGATTCTGTTCTTATAAGCACTGCTAAATGCAACTTGTGTGTTCCATCAGTAATCATGAAAACAGGAAGGGAAGGCTAACACCCATTCTTTCTATAGCCACAATTCTGATTCACTGAACTTCAGGCTGCTTTAGAGTTTCAAAAGTAACTGCAAAGTCAAATATATAAATAAGCTTTTGAACAGGACCATATTTTTTCCATTGACAGCACTGTACAGACCACTGGTGCATGAAATGGTAAGTGAACTGTTTGAAAGGAAAAGTTGCATTAGCAGTACTTACAATATAAGTTGATGTCCATATTAAATATGTAAGTTGGTCAAAGTTATATCAATAAAAGTTACAAAACAAGTCTTTTTATAATTCTTAGAAATAATTGTGTAGACCTAGAGAACATTTAGACTCACAAGAAACCATAGCATAGTCAGCCTGGATGATCAGTACCACGGCAAAACCAATCAGACGGCAACTTTCCTTAATCCTAAAGATGGCTTCAGTAGAAGGTCTATATTTTCGTGTGTTTATGGGGCAGAGGGGACAGATCTGATCTACATGAATCAAGGGCTAAGCCATACATTAAAAACAAACAAACAAACAAAAATGGATGACAGTTTCTTTTGCTTTTGAACTATTCCAGATTTAGAGTCCCACTAGTGCCCATGATGCAGTAGCAGAGTCCAGACTTACTGTCCCACCTGAAATGACTTAAGAGCTGGACAAAATATATTTTAAAAAAAAAACTATTTTCAGACATTAAACATGAGGCAGCATAGGGTAGTGATACCTGAGAGAGAGGAAACACATGATTATCCTAGCTCCCTACCTAGAAAGATTTCCAGACAACAGAACAGGGAGGGAGAATCCAAGCAGAGCCCAGCAATTCCATGAATTGAGGAGGCAGAGCTGGGAGTCCAGGAAGACCAAGAGAACTAAAGTTCACAGGACAGAGTATCAGAGAGGAGAAGGCTGTACAGAGAGAAAGCTCCTCAAGTCTTCAGCAGAGTACTAATCAGCACATGTGTATGGGAAATACCCAAAGCTGGGTAAAGAACCAAGCAAAAGGAGAAAATGGAACAATCACTGGCACTTAGACACAGCCAGGAACAGTCTGTGTTCCCATCAGCCAGGTGGAAAACCTTGTAATTCACCGGGCACTGGGGAGAGTACTCAGAAGGGTCGTACCTCAGAAGTAGGGAAAAATTAGTCCTAGACTAGGTTGCTCTGGTGCCACCTGACAAAGCTGAAAGCAAGCTTCAAAAGTCTCGAACTTTCAAAGTGACTCAACTATATCCTAGAACAAAGCTCAAGAATGCTTATAAGAATATAAAAACATCTAGCATCCAACAAGGTGAAATCACAATGTCTGGCATCCAATCAAAAATGAACAGGCATACAAAGAAGAAAAATATAACTCATAATGAAGAAAAAAATCAATCAAACCTGACCTGGAGATGACACACATGATAAAATTAGTAGAAAGGGATATTAACATAGTTATTATAAACTATATTCGAGAAGAATGAGGAAAGATTCAGCATGTTAAGTAGACACATGGAATATATACATATATTTTTAAGCCAAATCAAATTTCTACCAGAAGAGATTAGCAATACATACAAAGCTACAGAAAAAGAGATTATGAAATCCCAAGACATAGCAATAGAAACTATATAAAATGAAACAAGGAGAGAAAAATGAAGATTGAAAAAAATGAACAGAGCATCAGTAAACTGCAGACAATATTAAGCAATCTAACTTGGAGTTCCCAAAGGGGGACAGGGGAAGGCAAAAAAAAAAATTGAGCAAATAGTGCCCATAAGTTTCCTGAATTTGATGAAAACCAGAAACTCACAGATCCATGAATCCCAAGCACAGGAAACACAGAGAAAACTATACCAAGGCACATCATAATCAAATTGCTTAAAAGTGATGATAAAGAACAAAACTATTCTAAGAAGCTTTGGGGTTAAAGGAAATCACAATCTCTAAGACTGAAAAGGGGAGAGAAGACTTTGGACATCATTACCATATACTGCTAATGGACAAATGAAGAATAACTGTGGTCTCTGTCACCAAGCACTCCTAATGAATCAAACGTAATGCATACGCCAAATTGACTGTTACTATCTTAGAGACTGGCAAAGGAAACGAAAAATAGTAGCTAACATTTAAGGAGGCAGATGCTTTATATCCATTGTCTCATTTAATCCTTCAACAACCAAATGAGGTTGATACTATTATTAAACCCATTTTATAGATGAGGAAACTGAGGTATTAGTTGAGTAACTTTTCTATGGTCTCATAACTAATGGTGGAGTCAGGATTCAAATGCACAGGGAATCTGACCCCAGAGTCCACATGCCCAACCATTACATTATTCTGTTTCCAAAAAGAGAAACACTCAAGCCCATAGTATTAAACAATCTGGAGACATAATGTCAAATAATCCAGGCTTCCGAACAACTCTAAATGAAAATTATAGGCATTTAAAAAGAAGAATGATAACATCTAAGAGAAGAAGAAAACACATAGGTAAGACACAGATGATAAAATATCTTCTACACACTGTCATGACAAATATATCCATGCGAATTTGACTATGAAGCTAACCTTGCCAAATTAAGACAATATTCCAAGAGACTCTAATGGAGAAACTAAGGACCAGAGCAAAAGCGAAGCCACCTCTAAGAGAGCTCTAATCACTATTTGGCTATGTATGAAGTTGTTTTAATTTTAAACATTTGTTTTCAACATGCCACTAAGAACATATTCCTGAAGACATCAGTCTAATCATCAGATACCTAATTATACAAACAATAATAAAATTTCTCCAGAATGTTCTCATCAATCTCCAATGACAGACTCATGCCAAGGACATGAGCAACTGCCCCAAAGGGATTACTTCAGAATAGAATAACATTCATTTTGTAATAACAACTTTCAAAATGCAGCACATAATAGAGCTTTACCTTTGGTGTCTCAAATATTTGTTCCAGATGTATGATGTGTTCATGTTTTACACTTTTTAGGATGTTCACCTCCCGTTCAAGTAACCTCACAGCAGAGCTTCCCGCCTTAATCAATGAAGAAACACAGATTTCACATAAGAAAGTCACTCTTACATTCCTCAAATATAAGTTAGTTTATATTTTTTCCTATATTTTTTAGAAGTTTCTGTTTCAAATGATATCATGCTATTTATTCCCATGATCAGAATAAATTAATTATGCCCTTCTCTCCTTTGTCCAACTCAAGTTATATATAATTTGGCCTCGAGCCACATCTGTTTCTTGAACTGTTTCTACAACTTAGCTACAACATGGTATCTGTCCTCTCATAAAATTATTCCAATTTTTAATGTGCTTTTTGATATTTCCTTTAAAATTATGTTGATCCTTTGACATTAGCACAATAAAACCAAAATCTGCTTCCAGAGACATCAATTGGAGAAGATAAAAACAAAATGTTTTCTTTTTGTTCTGTTTTTGTCTTATTTTG